CAGCGGGTATTATGCCTACCGGTAGAGCGGGTTTCGGAATGTATTCTGGTTGGCGTAAATCTAAACCTTGATCTCTCATTGCTCTCAAAATCAAGCCGTTAATCATTTCTGCCACCGTACCATCGCCACCAACACAGCAGACCGCATCGTATGGCGTTAGATCATGGGTCATCAGAATATCACGTATTTGATTGGCCCTTTGGGTAATAATACAGGAAGCATCTATACCCGCTAACTGTATAATTTGCTTGCAATTCCTTTCGTATATTTGCAAACCCATTTTGCGTCCACCATAAGGATTTATAAATACCAGCAAACGTTGTATACGTCTACTGGTATCTTTGTGCATTAACTTCCTCAAGTGATCATACCATTTGGCCACTATATAAGGATCATTATTGTGCAAGGTCAAACGTCGTATATGCCAACGATTGCAATCGATTGGTGAAGCCACAATACGTTCTCCATAGTAAATCGATAGGTATTGTTCTGTTGGCGTTGTAACCTGTTGGTGTTGTAATTCTTCGGTCGACTCTAGTGGTTTGTGCGCATTGCGTATACTGGCAGATTTTGTGACACCCTTTGAGACTCTTATCACATCGTGTAGATGCAAAACATTACTTAAGCAACCATAAGCTGCTTTTTGTGAGAGTTGTTCTTTTTCATATTCGGCTTCTGTAAAGATGGAAAAAGTCAAATTTAAAAGCATGACTAATGCGATTATACAATTTTAAATTCAAAATTAATAATTTTTGAAATTACTACTAGGATTAACTTAAACAAAGAATCATAAGAACATTTTAGAACTTCTAGAGATTCTAAACTTTTTGGATTTTTTAATGCTTAAACATTGAATAGAAATTCTTCCAACTTGGAATCCTTCCAACATCGAATTGAAAGTTGTGTAAATTGGGCTGGTTGGAGTCGGCTCTGGATCTAATAGTATAGTAGAGATACGTTTTTAAGAATATAACTTATCTCCGAAAGCTTTAAGGACTCTACCGAGCAATCCTGAAGCAATATAATAGATTGTAGAGTTTGCAAGGTATTATAGGCAAGGTTAAACGCAAACGCAACCAGAGTACTATTAGAATTAGAATAGAATAAGGACTCTAGTAGAAATATTAACCTACCACTGTTGAATTGGAACCTTCGTAGACAACTGTGTCGGTAACACGAGGATTGTAAAAACCATCAGCAGCGTTGATGACACCCGCAACTTCAGAACGGATATGACTGAGAATGGAAAATACTTTTCGGGATGCTCAATGAAAAGCCTGACGAACATCTAAAAGCTCCTCTGCTGGGCCGCACTACGGATATTCGATGATCGGGAATAAATAGTTTATGCTTAGTGTTTGTGCAGTGAATTCTCTGAAACCATGTCAATCTTCATTTTTGATAAATATAATTACATCGTTCAAAGATGATAAAATCGGACGATTCACACAAACGATTGTATTTATGTGGTTAGATCCTTGTAATGCGAATCAGATCCGAATTTCCAATTGTTATATCTGGAGAGCTTGCACAGTTACACGTAATTAGCGTGTGTGGAAACATCATCCAAAGTACATAAATTTGACTCGTCAATTTGTTCCGCTTGTAACTCCAATTTCTGGGCAGTCCAATACTGCATGAACTAGCCTAATATGGATACAAATTTATAAGATAGAATCATTTATTCATGCCTCTGGCTGGTTTGATTCCATGTCAAACTCGAACATGTAATGTCCTATATGGGTTCGGTGGGATGGGTTAGTCACTTGCGGCTGCCTCAACAACCTAACGTAACCTAGTCCGGTATATAGTCTGTTATATTACCAAGTCTTGACTATAGTTTGGTCTAGAATATAATATTAGATTAGAGTTATGACTACTATCTGAGAGATGTAGTAGCGAGTGCTACAGGGGTATGAATGCGAAATATAGCTAACCAGCCTCTTCATAGTGTGTCTTTCTACTGACCAGGGTACTGTCCGGTTGTTTCCCCATTAATATTCTCTTTTTAGATTTATCTTAAACTTTCAAAAAACAAAGAAATCGAATCAGGTCAGGTCCCCATGGACCTAGCTGAACCCTAGCAAGAATCTATGGATCTAAACGCTCACATTGTAATGGATAATACCTCGATGTTGGGGAACTCATGTCCTATCTCTACCGAGGCACATATCCCAATGGATGAAGAAGATGGGTTACAGGAATCTGTTCCTAATATGCAATCCTCTATCGCCGCTAATCCGGATGCTATTGAACCAAAGGCACTACCCTCCATAGAAAGTCCAAAACTTAGTTGCGCAGCGCGTAGGCCAAAAAGCCGAGCACGGCATGGACATCGAGGACGCACGTTAAATCTGCCTAAAACCGATGAAGGACGTTCGCAATGTACTGCGTGACTTAAAAATCTCCACGAAAAGAGGCAGATTAGATGGATCAACTCCAGAAAAGCCGAAACGAGTAGCGAGTTCCACCGCAACGTATGAAGCTAAACCTTCCACCTAAATTCCCAACGGAAATGTGGTCTGACGAAAAACTTAAGATGATTCAGATGGCAGTCCTGGATAAGATTGTGGAGCTGAAGAAGGGCTCTATAAAACCACAATTTGCACCAAGCACATTTAATCTACTTGAAATTTTTGACTTTTAAATCGGCTTAGCAGAGATATATGTACATATATACATTAATATAGATATTAAAGCATTGACTCCAGACTGCGAAGACATACATAAACGAAATGTTTGAAGTATTCATTTAAAAAAAAGCACGAAAAATCTCTATCCCTCATCTAATTTTACAGTTTAATATGTAAATTATAGCTCTAACAAACAATACAAACCTTTTTGTATGGCTGCTGCTGTTGTAGCCGCTGGGGTCGTTGCTATTGAAATCGCTGATGCCGGTTTCTTTCCATCGTTTTCTCGCTGGCAGCGTTTCACATCTAAACGCTCCCACACAATATGATCATAGTTAAGCAGTACTTTATAACGTTTTTTCTTAATTTGAAAATTATTCAAAAGTATGTCATCGGTTTTGCTGTGGGTATAAACCATATTGGATTTGATCATCACTACTTCTGCATTTGCAAAAAAATTTCAGTTTAATGATGATTTTTTTTACGATTTCGATCTAAAAATTACAAAGTGTTTGCGTGTTTGTATGTGTGTGTGTATTTGTCATGCAATTTGAACTCATTCACGTATCTCAGACACCATCTCACATTTTAGATAAGAAAAAGTTTAAAGTGCTAAAAATAAAAAATGTAAAAAATATTATTACGAGTTTTTTTTAGAATCTGTTTTTTAAGTAATAATAAAACTGGTTTTTTCTTATATATTTCTAGCTAAAGTTGTACTTTTTTGGTTTTCGTAACAGCGGCAACAACGACGATCTTTTCAACTGAAACCAACAACAGTAACAAACGTTAATACCAAGTTGTATTCACCAATTCAGTCAACATTTTAATGACTTGAGGCGATCGTAAAGAATACAACGACAACAACAACAACAATTTTAAACAGTCATTAAGTAAAAAAATAAAACGATCGTTAACTGGTTTCTACATTAGTCGGTCAGGTAAATATTATGAGTGCAAAGTTCTACAAGTTATTAAATTTATTCTGGTTTTTTGTGGTATGATCTTTAAGTGATCTTCCTAAAGATAATTGGAATTGATGATGTGTTCTTTGTCTTAACCTGTTTGCAAAATAAATTAAAAATTACAATATTTAGCAAAAACCTTGGATATTTTTTTATTAAATAAAGAGAATTGTTAAAAGTTATGACATTGTTCTTAGTAATTTGACAGCTGTCATGACTTAAAGTACATTTTACGATTTAGTGTAAGTTTTAGTACTATTTTTATATAGTAAATAAAGCACTTGTTTTTTAAATATTTTCTAAAATTAAATTAAAATATTTCAGACCTATTTTTAGTACAATATTTTTGCAATTAAATGCCAAAAATTTGTTTCAGCATTTATCATTCATAATTAAGATTAAAAACAGCCAAAGGCCCCAGATTAAAATTAGCAATTAAAATTTAACACAAATTTAATTAAAAATAGTACAACAATAATAAATAAGTAAAATATTTCAAAAAAATTTTCCTATTCATATTAGAGGCAGACAGACTCACTCTAAAGATCACATGCATTAAAAACCTGATGTAAAATTGTGATTAAATTAAATGATAATGTTTTTAAAACTAAACAAAATACCGTATAATATAGGTGTAAACTGTTTTCATATTTGTTTCTATAAATTCCATTACAAAAGTTAACAACAACAACTTTTAATAATTAATCAGATAAAAAGTTTTTATTTTTATTTTCATAGAAACTTACATGTCTGATATCAGTATAACTACGTGAAAAAAACAAGCATATAGTTAAACTGAAAGTGTATAAAATTTAATTAACTATTAAAACAAATTTATAAAACTACAGATCTCTATTAACTATAAAATAGAAATAAAGTGTGCTAGGGTTTTTCTTAATTTTCGGGCAAAAAATCTGTTATTTTCAGGATTTACCAAATTTTTGATGAGTTAACGGCAAAAGTTTAGGAGTTAAGTTGAAGTACTATTTCTGTAGAATTTATGTCGACAATTTGATTCAAATCGAATAAGATCGACTAAGAAGGGTTATTCAGTTTCAATGATGTGAAGCTTAGGCTTTCAGATATTACTAAATATCTAGGAATCGTTCTTAAATTCGACCATTAAGTTTAGCATTTGAAAGATGGGGAAGTTGATGTCCTTTCCCCACTTTACTAAAGCAATGGATGGATACATTCTTTTATGCAGGGAAGTATGATCTATTTAGAGAGGACCACATGTCTGAAACAATTCTGGGTCTCAGATCATACTCATACTAATATATTCAGTAGATGTATTGAACAAAACACATTTTTTCTGGCTTCATGTAGAGAAACACGATCCGTTTATGTTGGGAACTATCTATTTCGCGGGAACTTCGGGTCTGATGAATCGATCTTGATAAGATACTAAGTCTACTTAATACCTTTTTATATCATTGATCTGCGATCTGCGCTTTTAAATGGAGCTTTTGAAAGAACGGTAATGAGGAAAAAGTATTAACCTAGCACTGTTGAATTGAAACCTTCGTAGGTAATTGTGTCGGAAATACGAAGAATGTGTGAAAACCAAGAGCTATACCTCCCGTTGTGGCGAATTTTCAAAGAGGTGCTGTCATACCTGGTTCTTATAAGATTTACTTTCCTTATTACTGAATTCTATAAAGAGCAAATATAAAAGCTTTCTCTATTCCGCTGATTGAACAATTATAACCCGCAACTACGGGCTAGATGAAAACTTAGTGGATGACCTCTGCAACTTCATAACGGATGCATTGCTGTGATCATGTAATGATTGCTGGCTTCATGTAGAGAAGCACGGCACGGTTATGTTGCGAACTCTCTATTTCGTGGGAACTTCGAGTCTGATCAGTCGATCTTGATAATATACTAAGTCTACTTAATACCTTTTTATATCATTGATCTGCGATTTAAGATGGTGCTTTTGGGAGAACGGCAATGGACGATATGATGACGAGGAGCTATTTGATCGCAATTTATCGTAAATACTCGGCGGCCATTTGGCTCATTGCTATATTATTTAAACGATTGATCTGTAATTTGGGTGATCTTGTGATTCCTGTGGTTCCGACAGAACCAACCGGTACTTCTAACAAATTTTATTATATTCGTCACTAACCAACCTTAAGATAATCTTGATCACCATTTTGTGAAATGGCCTTTAAAAAATCCGCTTTCAGGAGAACAATTACGGACTCTGGTAACATTGACAAGATGCGTTTTAAAAGGTTAGGCTATATGGCATGCTTGCAATTTATCGGGAGTACTCGTAAGCCATTTGGAGCATTGCGTCATTATTTAAACGATTGATCTCTAATTTGTGCGATCTTTTGATTCCTACGGACCCCTATTGTTCAGATAAATTTGATTAGATTAATCACTAACACATCCTTAGGACAATCTTGATAATACACTCTTGTCGAGCAGAGCTGTTACATAGAAGCTGTTGAACTTATACCTCTTTATCAAAACAAATTCTGGAATAAATTCTACGTAGTTAGCCAATATCATTTGACATGCGGCCAATCGAGTGGTACGCAGTAAGATGCCTATAACGAAATTCCTAAACATAAAAGAGGCAAGATCTTTTTCGATAAAGGTCAAGATCAATATATTTTAGAAAATCTGCAAGTTATAATAGTTAACCATCTGTGTCCCGTTTTTTCTCCTGTTCATTCGTCTATAACAGTAGCCAGCGCAACTAGGTACCTAATATGAATATCTTCTTGGAAAACAGTTTTGTCCAAAAGACAATTAATTAATTGCTAATTCTTTTGAATAGGACTATCTGTTGTCTCATTGGGAAAGAGAGGGAGTTGGTTGAGTTTTTAATTTGTCAGCTGATCTCAAAATTGTCTTATTTGGTGCTATAACTAATTCCCTCGAGTATTCCAATACTATTTGTATTCATTCTAGGATGTTATATCTTCAGTTAAATATAAGAATTTGATATGCTTTTGTCAACATCAAAATCCTTAAACTATCATATACCCTTGAAGACTTTTTTGGCAACAGCACCGAATTTATCCCGAAATGTAGATTTTATCGTCTCTTTTAACCAACATTCTCTTCCCGCGAATTTGGGCTTAAATACCAGCCACCACACGCACCCCGAAAGAACAAGGCAATGTGTGAAACTACACCCTCTGTGCTGCCCATATCTGTGATACAAGATTATATGACACTCTGGTCCGACCACAGGTTAATTCATTCCAAGGAAAGGCCTAAAATACATTTGACACCATCCGTTTGTAGTCCAGGCAGATTAAAGGCACCGGTAGCACTGTTTGGCCGCAGTTTGCAATTACACGCACATGGGGGAAGTTTATCAAGGTAACATGCCCCCGGGGAGGGGGAGAGCAAATGTTTCCATAATATTACCAAAAACGTCATGCCTTGCAAAGGTTAACCAGAGGGAAATTTTCTGACATGGAAATCAACCAGTCTTTCCCCTGCTTTTCGATAAAAACAAGGACTTACACTTATTGGTGTATAGTGTTTTGAGGTTATAAATCTATGGTGCCATTTCAAACGTATTTATTTAATAAAAGCCACATTTTCATTAAGAGTAAATTCTTTAAAGTTACTGTTTAGTTTCACTTACTATGGAGAGATTTCGAAGCAACTGATTTCATTTCAATTTTTAATCACTGCACAATAAATTTTCTTTTTTTTTTTTTTTTGCAAACAATTGCTAAATTTATTATTAATAATATAGCTTTAAGTAAATAATGACACATACGCTATAGCGATTTGCTAAGTTATCGTGCAAATAAAAACTTTTATTATCTTTAGACAAGGTTATCACTGAGAATTGTCTGCTTTAATTCTAGACCATACTCTTTTTTTACACATAAACATGATACAAAACTAATTTCATGCTAAAATAATTCGCTCTAATGAGTTTGAACTTTAATTAGAACGTCACAGAAAATGTAGACTTGGAACTATTATTTTTAAATCTCTAATGTAGACATTATAATGAATAAATAATGAATTTGCTAGATTTTCTAATCAGGTCAAAATAGTTAGCATGTGTTTCTAAATATAAGAATTTTATATTTATATGATTTGATTCCAAACTTTATAGAAAAACAAACATACAAACTTATCTAAGTCTTTTGTATTAACATAGCATTAAAAATCGTGATACAAGTTCAAGTTCACCACTTTTTTACTTGATTTTTATGGTAGATGACAACTGATTTCAGTTAGCGGCTAACCTTCATTTTATACACAAAATAAAAGATAAACGTTTCTTCTTCACGTTGGTGTCTAAATAACAAAGATACATATTGAAAACATTTCCGCTTTTATTGTTTTATTTTCTTAAAAGAAAACAAAATACATAATAACAACAGAAACTATGTACATTTATTTACATAAAAAAGTCAATGTATTTTATAAAAAATCGATCACTATTTGTTTAAATACAGACAAAAGTTTTTATGTAAATAAACTAGGGTAATATTTCTTTTTCAATATTAAAAATATTTACTAAAATTAAATAAAAGTTCTTTATTCGTTTTTGAAAAATTATAACAAATTTATTACAGTTCGTAAAAGTAGTGATAAAAATTGCGTTGTAGCCACCATTATAAAGTAATTATAATTAGTTTTTTTTTATAA